CAGCGCTGGCAGGGGTCTCCACGCAGCTGCTCCAGCACCCAGGACTGCATCAGGGTAGGCCCATGTGGCTTTTCTTTGGGGATGTCTTGCAGGAAGTGAGCCTTGCCAGCTGAAGCAGGGAACTGGCTAAGGCAGCTGCACCCTGGTCTGACCATCAGAGAGCAAGAGACCCGAGAACTAGAAGGGCGAGGTTGAGCAAGCCATTTATCTCTCTGCCCTTCAATTAATCCCACATGTGTTTATCAGCCAGGTTGGCACAATAAACCTTAACTATCTTAGTATTGAACAGCAAAAAGTCTACACACACACACACACACACACACACACACACACACAAAGATGGAAAGAATACATACTTGTACCCAAAAGAACTGGGCAATGTGCAACCACTTCAGAGTGCAGTGTATGATCAAGAGCTCATGTTATTATAGGAAGAAGTGCAAGCACTGAAGACATTTGGTGAAAAATAAGACTAGAAACGGACGGAATACAAATCACCATGTTTTGACAGATGAGTGCATTTCTGGGATTGACGGAAAGAGATCCATCTCTGCGCCCCTTCCAAACAAAGATGCTTCACTAGAATGTGGAACGTTTCCAACAACATCAATAGTAGCATCCACAAGTAAAATTTTGCTGGAAGTAACTTCAAAAACGATTGTAGCAGTTCTGTCAGAAATTCAAGGTACGGACAGCACTGAGAAAAGTGATCATTCCAGGCCACTCAATTGTGCTCACCTGGAGTGTGTGCACAGCCCAAGAGGCAGTCATTTGAATGGAACAAGGAGATTCTTCCTGGTTTAAAATGAGGAAAAGCATGACTCGGGATTACGCTACCCTTTCACCACAGGTATTCAGTCTTGCTGAGCAGATTCGCCAAGGAGCTGAATTCTATGGTGAACAGCACTGCAAAAGACCCACAGCAAAGGATTTCTTTAAAGTGTTAACAAGCAAGGGTGTCACTCTGAGGATAAGGCACACCGGATGTGTGGTCTTTTTAACCACCCCCTATACAGGGGAAAGCTGGACACTGAACCAGGAAGCCCGAAAAAGAATGGAAGCCTTTCGAGGATGATGCTGGCAAAGAAGATGTGATGTGTCATGGAATTCTGGAAGAATGAACAAACTTGTCTTGGAATAAACACCTCCAGAATGCTTCTTAGAAGCATGGCTAGCTAGACGCCATCCCTCATTTGGTCATGTGACCAGGAGGGACCAATCCCTAGGGATTGGTAAAGTAGAGGATCCATGCAAAAGAGGAAGGTTCTTGACAGAGTGCCTGCAACGATGGGTGGACACACAGCATAGGACACAGAGTTATGTCCTGGCACTATGATTTGGAATCAGCTCAAGAGCACCTAACAACGACAACAACAATCTTTATGAGAGTAGGTCACCACGAATTTTCTTCTGTGTGGCTGCTTGTGGGTTCGAACCATGGCCTTGTAGGGATCAGTGGGGCACTTAACCACTGCACCACCAGGCACCTGAGGTGGCACACCTCGTTTCATCACAGGATGAAATGGGCTGACTTTGGGGTGTGGCTCTCAGGTGGCATCTGAGATGAAGGGACTGGATGCTGAGATTCCTTGAATGCTTTGCTGTGATGGGAGTTCTGCTGGGCACAGAACACGCACACCTGTGACGGCCACCCAACATATCAGGGTGTTCCTAACAGCGACGCTTCTGCCCTCTCCTGCGCTGCACCCCTCCGATAAATTCCTATCGATCCTTCCAGTGCCGGTTCATGCTCCCTGTCCACTGCCATCCGTCTATGTCAGTGTGCAGTGGCCCAACAGGACAGGGTAGAACTGCCCCTGTGAGTCTCTGAGAATGTCACTGTATATGGGGGCAGAAAGGCCCAGCTTTCTCCCAGGGGCGTGGGGGTGGGGCAGCTGGTGGTTTCAAACCGTTGACCTTGCGGATTGCAGCCCAATGCTTAACCCACTATACCACCAGTGCCTCTGCAGCTACGCTTTTCCACAGCACATTGGTATTCCTTTGCGCACGTATCCATTCTGCAGAGCAGATGCTCTTATTTTTGTCCGTAACTCCTACTGGTGCCTGGACAGAAAACTGCTGAATCGAATTTCTCAAGAAAAAGTCGTTAATTGGTCTTTCTGCCTATTGGGGCACATGCGCTAACTGTGTAGGCCCAGTACCTTTGAAGGACACACGCCCAGACTCATGTAGGCTCCCACTGCGCAGCTGCAGCTGCTTGCTGTGACCCAGAGACTGAGCTGGCAGAGGAGCGCAGACTGCCAGGCCACCTGACTAGCACTGCCATCCCTTGTGATTGCATTTGATTCCGGGACCAGCTTGGAGGAAGGTATCCCACTCCCTAATCACATGGAAGTCCTGGGGGGTGGGGGGGCTCTGATCAGCTCCCCTGCTCCCCAAGGGAGTGACAGGGCAGCTGGGGAAGTCCAATTCTCTCTGCTCCTCAGCGGACTCTACTCCCCTGGGCATGAGAGAGAGCAGAGCGCTTTGAATTTCGCCAGGAGAGGAGGCTGTACAGCGATGCGTCCTTAAAGGGTGGCTGCCTGTGGCCCACTGCTCCGGGTATGGCAGGGCCTTGCACTTGCTCTGGATGCCACCTGGGGGGCGGGCACCCATGAGTGGTTTCCATTGCCATCCAGGTTCCCATCATGTCTGTGCACACCACTGAGTGATGTAAAACTCATCACCATCAGCGCCATTTCCAGAGCTGTATGTCTGTGCCTGAGGGCCAGAGGAGGGAGCAGACGAAGACCCCGTGACTGCTGGAAAGTCCCGCAGCCCTGCTCCTGGCTGGGCCCCCTGAAGGAGGTGTGGAAGCCCCCCATGTCCCCCAAGCACCTGTGACCTGTGACCTCTGGCTGGGGGATCTGAAGCCCTGCAGTGGCTCCTGGAGGGGAGGGCTGGAGACTCTCAGACTACAGTCCTGTCAACAAGGGGCCTCCCATCCAGGTGCCGCAGGTTCAACGCCATCGCCTCCTTTCAGCCCTCAGGAGAGTGCAGGCCTCCACCTGGTGCTTGCTGCCCAGAGGCGTCTCTCAGCTCCACGGAGCTGATCAGCGCCCTCTCTGATCCCTGCGGGTCCAGCCTGAGCCTGCTCCTTGGTGTGGCGGCCCAAGTCCTGCTGCCATCCTGCAACCTCAGTCCGACCCACTCCTCCTTTTGAGCTTGATGTCTCAGCCACTCTACCTTGGCACCTGCTGGCAGCCTAGTATGCCCTGTGCTGTTGTGTGTTTAACACCTGGAGTACTTCTGCCCATCCTACAAAGCCCAGTTCCCATGGCACCTTCAAGGCTACATTGTCCCTGAATCACCTCCACACCCAGACTAGATAGAGAGACCCCCCCTGCTTTCCAGGGGTTTGCTGGACTGGGCTATTTGCATGCCTTCCTCCTCCAGCAGACTGGGACCTTCGAGAGGGCGATGGCATGGTTTGCTCCTCTCTGGGTCTCGGTGCCCAGCTCAGAGAATAAGGTAGATCAGGCACCTAAGTAGGCGCCGACGGCTGGCCGGCCCTCAGTTTCCCTATGTAACATCTCATCCTCATGGGTCCCTGTGGCTCACTCTGGACTGGCTGAGCCTGATCTTGGGGACGGTGCAGACACAAGCTGTGTTTCGTTGCAAGGTGGATGGGCTCCCCATGAGCTGAGCAGGTGCTGACCCAGTGATGGCTGGCTGGTGGCCTGGGGAGCTCTGAGACAAGGATATAGGGGAACAGGAGGAGGTGGGGGAACTGAGGCTGGAAAGGGGCAGGGGTGGGTCACAGAGAGCTCGCTCCAGTCCAGTCAGCTTCCTCCTAGTCCTCAGCTTCCCACTCTTCCTAGTTCCCAGCATGCCTTGCACCTGTACCAGGCAAACCACATCCTGTGCTCAAGAGCTTCCTAGGCCAGGTATCCAGGCCAAGGACTCTCAGGTGCGGGAAGAGACTCTCAGGCCCCTCCTTCAATTACTCCGAGGCAGTCAGCAGCCCTTTCCCCTGGAGACCAGGTGGGTTGGGTGCTTGGGGGTGGCACTGAGCCCAGCCAAACTCAGGCCAGGAGGCAGGTCTGGGATAGGGTGTTGACCCATTCTGAGTTCACTGCTCAACCTGGTGTCTGCTCGGAACCTTCAGAGATCGGCATTATGGTGGGGGAAGCCTCAAACCTGGACAACAGTCTCCTGCCCACCTCCCACCCACCTGCCTCCCCACTTAGGTTTCAGCTCCTCCTCAGTTTCTCCCAGCCTGCCTGGCCTGCTGCCCAGGAGCTCTGCGCCCGGCACTCCCTTCTGCATGAAAGAGGCTCACTGACAGGGTAGCCTGGTCTCCTATACGGCTGTGCCCCTCACCAAACTTGCGTTCTCTGCTTAGTCCTGCCCATGATCACAGCCCGTTGGCAGCCTCTGCCCTTCCCCTCTTGGCACCAGCAGCCTCTAGTGATCATGATGTGCTGCCCAGCCCTGAGCTGGTAGTGGCCAGTGTTTGACCTGAGTTAGACCTCAAACAGACTTTGCTAGAAGGGACCCAGGCTCCTCCCCCGCATGCACACATCCACAGACATGGCCATACAGAGCCAGCTCTGGCTCTCCCTGGCTGTGAGTTCTCAGAGCAATCAGGCAGGAGACAGCCCCCCCGTCCCATGGCCTTGGCTGGCTCGAGGCCTGCCCAGCTCACTGTGCCCTGCTCTCTCACTGTGCAGACAGAGAAACAGACATCCAGAAAGGAAGGTGCCGGCTGGAGATTTTCCGAAGGGCAGAGGTGGGGTCAGGACCATTTTCCTGGCATGCTGCCCAGGACTCTTGCCCTCACCATGTAGTACTGTGTGCAGAAAGTCCAGTTACAGAGCCATGGGTGTTTGGGTGGCTTTTCCAAGATGTTTGAGAGGGGTGGTGGGTGGTGGTGGGGCTCCATCCTCCAGCCCAAGGCCTAGGCCCTCCCATGTTCCAAAGAAAACATGCCCAGGGGCCTTTGAGCTGTGCTGAAATTACTTCCTGTCCAGGTGTGGGGAAGAGATGAGGCAGCTTACCTGCCAAAAGCCAGCTGTGGTCTCATGGTCAAGACGTGTCAGAGATGTCTAAGAGCGTGGCGGGCTGTGCTGGAGCGAGGCCTGTGGGAAGGAAAGAAAGTGAGAATATCATTCTCCCACCATCTGTCAGCTTGCACTTGAGTGTGAAACCTGAATCCCCAACTGGTGAGCACAGGCTTGCTCATTGTGGCCTCACAGCCGAGCCCCAGCTACTGCCCCTTCCCCAACATATGCACCACAGAGTCAAGCCCATGTCGTGTTCCCCCTGCGGATACAACCATAGTCTCATAACCCAGCTAAGAGCTGCGCCACGTCATCGGCCCCTGTGGAACCCCTTGGCATTCTTTCAAGAACTCCCTAGAGGAACTCCCTCAAGGGACCTGGGTGGTTCAATGGTTAAGGGCTCAGCTGTTTAACTGAAGGTGAGTGGTTCAAATCTACTTAGCAGCTCTAAGAGAGAGAGAGAGACCCAGGGATCTGCTCTGGCAAAGATTACAGCATCAGAAATGGACTGAGAATTGGCTTGAGGCCACTTAAGGAGGACAAGAGCATAGTTCTTTGTATTTCACTCATTCTTTCTTTCATTATTCGTTCATCCACACCTCATGTAGTTCACAATCATTCGAGGGAAGTTTTTACATGTTGGGGTCAGATCTATGGAGATGAATTCATTGAGAGTGGCAGGTCACTCTACACTACAAGTGCCCTGTAGACCCAGGGCACACTCCAAAGGCTCCTGATTCCCAGCCTGCTGAGCTTCCTTCCTCCTCCGAGCGAGCTCTGTGCCAAACATCAGGGAAAGCATTTTAGATGGACCACACTGGGTGGTATAGGCTTCCCAGTCATTTTCAGCAGATAGACACCTTTAAAAAAATCATTTTATTAGGGGCTCGTACAACTCTTATCACATTCCACACATCAATTGAATCAGGCATGTTTGTACATATGTTGCCCTCATTCTCTTCTAGACATTTACTTTCTATTGAGCCCTTGGTACCAGCTCTTTTTTTTTCTCCCCCTTCCCCCACACCCTCATAACCCCCCGGTAGATTGTACATTGCTATTATTTTCATTTCTCACACTGACCGCTGTCTCCCTTCCCCCATGTTTTCTGCTGTTCTTCTCCCTGTAGAGGGGTGTATGGTTATGTGTCGATCATTGTGATCGGTTCCCCCTTTCTCCCTTCTGCTCCCCCTCTTCCCCCTACCCTTCCGGGATCACCAGTCCCACTCCTGGATTCTGTGTGTCGTGAGCTCCCATCCCTTTCTATACCTGTGCACATGTTCCAGTCTAGTCTGAACTGGGAAGCAGCACTGGGGTCATGACAGTGGGGGGTGAGGAAGCCACAAGGACCCAGAGGAAGACACCTTTTTAGATAACCATATTTTCAAAAAATGACAACTGTCACACTGAGTATCTTTTCATTAAGAAGATACACAAAACAATGCAATAAGGAACTTAATACTTTCAATTGTATTTTAGTAATAACAGCAGCACACACAGTTTCATTGGAAATATCATCACATGCATTTCAATGCCCCATTGAGATGTGTTATTTGTGTTTCCTGGGCTTAAGACTTTGCCTCCCTTGGAGGTCTAGTCATCAGTCATTCAATAATGCTTATGCAGCATGTCTGAGATACCTGGTCCTGTGACCAGCAGGTTGGGGATCTTGGTATAAAACAAGGGTTCTGCAGTGGGGCGTGCTTAAACTCAGGCTCAGCTCAGATTGGATGTGTGCACTTGGTTAGGCCATTTGATCAGGGTCCCTTGTGAGTAAAATGGGGAGGATAATGCTGACAACGGCAAGTTGTTGTAGAGATTAAATTAAATGAGAGAGCGGAACACACCCATGCCAGGTGTTTGTCAGGGTTAGGCCCACAGCAGAAGCTCAATAATGGGCTCCAGAGGATTATCATTAGTACCTATATTACCATAACCATCATTCACTCTCATTCCCGCCCTCACCAATATCTCCATCAACATCATCACCGACACCACCACCACCACCACCACCACC